CCCGGCAAGGTCGATGCATCAGTACCTGCTCTGAAGATGGATCGATGGAAGACGATGGTGACAGCCTCTGCAGTGTGTGCATGCGGTGTCCGCTGAGGGTGTGGCGGACCGGTGTGTCATCAGACTCGGCAATTCGGCTTGGTTGGCTACTCCGGCTTTAGACGTTGGGCTTTGATGTGATGTCTAGGTATGTAACCCCGACAATCTGCACCCTTCATCAACTGACTAGGAGTAGCGACAGTTGTCGATGGTGGATTTAGACTTATTGATGTATTACTTTGTAAGGTCTTGATGAATAATTAATAAAAATAGATGCATGCATCACCCTCCTTTAGAAAAACTAGTTCATATGATTTTTAATTTTTACTTTATGTTATGAGAAGAAGAACAGAAGAAGAAGGCTCGCATCATTTTTCTAATTCCGCTTGTTTTTCTAGTTTCTATCCAAAACCATATATACTTCCCTAGGCAATAGCCACTATATGGAAAAGGTGACATTTTGGTTATACAACACAATACTAGAAGATTTCTCCCGGCGTTGTCAAAAGAAGATGTATTAACAAATGGGTGGACGATATGCAGCAGCGGTGCGCTATGAGGGCGGCCAAGCTTCACGATGCTGCGATATATACTGGTATGTCCGTTAACATATCTAATTCTTTATTGCATTTTGCTCCTGAGGAGATTGTTAATAATGCAAACCAATTAGGAGTTTCTCTTGGCGCTAATGATATTGAAATATCCAACTCGGTGAATGATATGTTAGATTTAGAGGCGGAGCGGGCCTTAGAGACTATTAGTCATCTTGCTGCGGTCAAGCCCATGAATGTTGAGGAAATTGAGGAGTTAGGGATAAAAGTGCTAAATAATCTATGTGCGGACCTAGCACCTTCTAATCAGGAGTCGGAGGGCGAGGATGTGCCCTTAGATGATGCAGATAGCAATTCCGTTCAGACCGGTTATGAGGACCGGGTGAAGGAGCACCCCAAGCTAAGGTGTAAGTGGAAACGAAAAATTTATCCCGACTCTGCTGTTTGTAGGAGTGCTAGGATTCGGACTGCTAAAAAATTCCATGATGAACTATGAAAGGAATCTTTTGGAATAGCAGAGGTCTGAAAGACTTGGCTAAAAGGAGGTTTCTTGCTGAAGCTTCTCTGGAACATCGGTTAGATTTCGTTGCTCTGTCGGAAACCGGTCGAGATAATTTTGCGCCGCAGTTTCTTTCCTCTCTTGTGGGTGGTCTTGAGTTTGATTGGCATTGCCTCCCGCCACGAGGTCGATCGGGGGGCATCTTACTGGGTGTGAGATGTGATGCCCTTGAAGTCCGGAGTGTAGTAATGGGTGATTTCGCGGTAAAGTTTCGAGTTAGGTCTAAAGTTGATGGGTTCAACTGGGCGTTGGTAGCGGTCTATGGTGCCGCCCAACCCGAGCTTAAACCGGAGTTTCTGGCGGATCTGGTTCGGATATGTGGGTCCGAACAGCTTCCGATTTTGGTCGGGGGTGATTTCAATATCATTAGAAGGAGAGAGGAGAAAAACAATGATAACTTCGACGGCAGGTGGTCGTTTATGTTCAATACTATTATTGAAAGCTTAGATCTAAGGGAGATAGAGCTCACTGGTAGACAGTTTACCTGGGCTAATGCTCTGCCAAACCCGACATATGAGAAGCTTGATCGGGTTCTCGCCAGCGTGGAGTGGGAACAAAAGTTCCCTCTTGTTACGGTGCAAGCTCTCACGCGGGGAATCTCTGATCACACACCTTTGTTCGTGGACTCAGGGGAGCCGAACCATATAGGAAACAAAAACACATTCTCTTTTGAGATGGCCTGGTTCGAACGCGAGGGATTCTTAGACATCATAGCCAGGGAGTGGGCTAAGGGTGTTGGAGGAAGGACGGCGGTCGAGCGCTGGCAGAATAAAATTAGGCATTTGAGAAGCTTCTTACGGGGTTGGGCTAAGCATCTAAGTGGGGTGTATAAGGTTAAGAAGGATAGACTCCTCTCTCTTATACAGGCATTGGACGTAAAAGCTGAATTTGCGCTGTTATTGCCTACCGAGCTCCAAGTTAAAAATGAGGCGGAGAAGAGGCTGAAAGAACTTCTCCGCGAAGAAGAATTGAAGTGGGCTTTGCGTGCCAAGGTCCGCAAGGTAGTCCAAGGGGACGCGAATACTCAATTCTTCCACCTCATTGCTAATGGTAAACACAGAAAGAAGTGGATCTTTCAGCTAGAGCAGGATGAGGGTACTATTCTAGGGCAGGATAATCTCAAAACCTATATTACCGAATACTATAGACAGCTATTTGGACCGCCGGAGGCCAATTGTGTGTCCCTCGATGAGTCCAGGGTTGAGGACGTGCCTCAATTGACTGCTGCTGATAATGATATCCTGGCTGCCCCGTTCTCAGAAAAGGAGGTGTTTGAGGCTATTGCACAAATGAAAAACAATAAGGCTCCCGGTCCGGATGGGTTCCCGGCTGAGTTTTATAAAAAGTGTTGGCACATTATTAAGGGGGATTTACTACCTATGTTTCATGATCTATTCTCTGGACAGCTTCAATTATTTCACTTGAATTTTGGAACTATCACCTTGCTTCCGAAGAAAACGGATGCTGCGAGGATTGAGCAGTTCAGGCCGATCTGCCTCCTTAATGTTAGTTTCAAAATCTTCACCAAGGTCGGAACTAATAGGCTCACACAGATTGCGCAATCTGTGGTGCAGCAATCCCAAACTGCTTTCATGCCGGACAGGAACATCCTTGAAGGGGTGGTTGTCCTTCATGAAACGCTCCATGAAATCCATTCCAAAAAATTAGATGGAGTAATTTTTAAGGTGGATTTCGAAAAAGCGTACGATAAAGTTAAGTGGCCATTCCTCCAACAGGCATTGCGTATGAAAGGTTTTGATAAAGCCTGGCGCCGACAGGTCGAATCATTTACGCAAAAAGGGAGTGTGGGAATTAAAGTGAATGACGACATAGGTCATTATTTCCAGACACATAAAGGCCTAAGACAAGGAGATCCGATGTCCCCTATCCTGTTTAACATTGTGGTGGATATGTTAGCAATTTTGATAGGCCGGGCTAAGGAAAATGGTCAAGTGGGTGGGTTGGTTCCTCATCTTGTGGAGGGAGGTGTTTCCATCCTTCAGTACGCCGATGATACAATCATCTTTATGGAGCATAATTTGGCCAAGGCGAGAAATATGAAGCTTGTGTTATGCCTGTTTGAACAATTAACCGGGTTAAAGATTAACTTCCATAAGAGCGAATTGTTCTGCTTTGGTAGAGCCAAAGACGATCAGGAGTCTTATAGGCAGTTGTTTGGGTGCGAGTTGGGGAGTTTACCCTTCTCTTACCTTGGTATCCCGATTCACCATCGTAGGCTAACAAACAGAGAATGGAAGTGCATCGAGGATCGTTTTGAGAAAAAACTGAGCTGTTGGAAGGGTAAGCTCATGTCATACGGAGGCCGGTTGATTTTGATTAATTCGGTGCTCACGAGTATGCCTATGTTTCTCTTATCTTTCTTTGAGGTCCCAGTTGGTGTTAGGAAAAGACTGGACTTCTATCGGTCGCGCTTCTTTTGGCAGGGTGATGAACTTAAAAGAAAGTACCGGCTTGCTAAATGGGACATCATCTGTAGACCGAAAGACCAAGGGGGTCTCGGTATTGAAAATCTTGAAGTCAAGAACAGATGTCTTCTTAGTAAGTGGTTGTGGAAGTTGTCCGCCGGGACTGAGGCCATGTGGGCGCAGATCCTTCGTAACAAGTACCTCCAAACTAAAACATTGTCCCAGGTCGCAGTCAGGCCGACTGATTCGCCTTTCTGGAAAGGACTAATGAAAGTCAAACAATCTATGTTCAATAGGACGAGATTTGTTATTGGAAACGGTACAAGTACCCGTTTCTGGGAGGATACTTGGCTTGGTGAATCACCTTTAGCCATTCAATATCCGTCTTTATATCGGATTGCTCAACGACGTGAGGTGTTCGTGGCAACGATATTCCAATCTATCCCCCTTAATATTCAGTTTCGACGGTCGCTAGCGGGCAATCGTTGGGAAGAATGGCTTCATCTAGTAAGGAGACTAATGGAGGTTCAACTTTTTCACCGACCCGATGTATTGCGTTGGAAGTTGACTAGATCTGGAGTATTTACAGTTAAATCAATGTATATTGATGTTATTAATTCGACTGATATTCCAACTTCTAAGTTTGTTTGGGCTGTCAAGGTGCCTTTAAAAATAAAAGTGTTTATGTGGTTTGTCCATAAACAAGTTATTTTAATAAAGGACAACTTGATTAAACGCAATTGGACAGGTCCTACTAGGTGTAGTTTCTGTGATCGGGATGAGACGATTAAGCATTTATTCTTTGATTGCCCGTTGGCTAGAGTTCTTTGGCGGACGATTCATATTGCTTTTAATCTTCCTCCACCGACTTCTGTCTTTGCTTTATTTGGGACATGGCTTCATGGGGTTGGGCCTGTTCTCACAAGACATATTCGGGTTGGAGTTTGCGCTTTGTTATGGACTATCTGGAATTGCAGAAATGATTTGGTTTTTAACAGAACATCACGGATTCATTTTTTGCAGGTTATTTTCCGAGCTACGGCACTGATCCGTTCATGGTCGCTACTCACTCCGATGGAGGCCAGGGAGCATTTGGTTACTGGATCTATCCATTGGGAGATGGTCGCTCGGGATATCTTCAACCGGTTTGGATGGCGGTCATGTAATAGGATAGGCAATTAGTTTCCCTATCTATTGTTAGCCAGCCGGTTGTGGCATCTGTTTTGGGCTAGTCTGTATATCTAGCCGCTTGGAGCTCTGTGTGAGCTACATTTCTCTTTTTTCCTTTTGGTTTAGCTGGAGACTGTGGAACCTTGTTAGCACTTTTGCCTTTTTTTAATAAGATGGCCGTATGCATCGTTTTGATGCAGAGGCAGGGGAGCCCCCCTTTTCGGAAAAAAAAACAAATGGCAATATGTTTAAATGGTAGTATTAACTGCAACGAGAAGGAAGAAGACTCGCAATCAATTACTAAGTCACCTGCCATGGCTGCTCCATTGAAGGGCTGCTTCCCGGCAGCCACAGCCACCACCGGCATCCTCTCCCCTGCGTCCGCCGCCACGAGCCTGCCACCGGCTCCTCCTCTCCTCGGACCTCCGGCGACGCCGACAGACCGCAGCCTCGCCGCTGGCGCGCCATGGCGGCCAGCGCCGGAGCAGGGGCGAGGAACAGCCTTCGCTAGCATGGTGCGTTCCGCGTGGTACTAGGTGACAGATGCGTGCTATACACACATGCCTTCCGTTGTGGCAGAAATTTGACAAGAAGGGGGGCTGCTAGATGATTTGCAATTTTGTAGGACGTTGGAACGGAAACGTCTATATGTAGCAGATTCTTGCGCCAGTGAGTAAATTGCAGAGAACTATCACATACCGGGTTAGAGTCACGTATGACTACCACGTGACACATGTGGTAAGCAATCCAAATAATTTAAAAAAAATGTCACATATAACTATCTTTTTTCTCATATACCTACCAAAAATTTGGTTTTTGTATTAAAAAATATTGATGATCGTTTTGATTAAATCTGACCCGGATTATGCCAGTCGTGGCTTACTCGCCAAGGCTGACATGGCATAAAAAGTTGACTCCGTTAAGTTAGATGTTTATGACACGTGGGGCTCACTTATCCTTTGTTTACACAAAAGAAAAAAGAGAGAAACCCACCCTCATCATTGTGGTCTGACTTCCTGATCGAGAACATTTGGAAGGAACCTAACCGTCCAATTTTTCAACGGGATCCGCCTTACATGCATTGAGATGGCGGCTCTTGCCTTTCAAGACATATTAACCTCAATTAGCCCCCTCGGCTCTTCCTAAGACTCATTTAGCTTTCTCTTAATTCTTGCTAAAGCTTCGCTGCTGCTTGCAAAACATGACACCTATGTACATTAACCCTCTATTTCGTCTAAATGAAAAGGCATTGCTCTTGCCGATTCCTTGATTTTTATTTTATTCTATGACCGAACACGATCTATTAACTCAATTTTACATGCGCAATTTTTTGCGTGCCCTATGATATATGTAAGCTTACAATCGAGAAATTGGTATGCAAGTTTTGCTTGTGCATATAAATTGAGTGTGCATTTTTTTCTACTTTACAAAAAACAAGGTGATTCTCAAGAAAAAGTGTACATTTTCCTTCATTTGAAGGACAAGTATCACAAGCTATAAAGCCATGACTCCTTTCCCAAGTTCTCCCAGGACAATATTTGGGAAGCCCGAAGCCTTATATACGAGGGAAATGCCATTAAGTGGACAAGAATTATTCCCCATGGAGGTGTTCCTGCCCAAAGTTAACTAATAGACCAGATTCAACGAACCTGAGTTCCGGTCGACGTATGTAGCTAGCTTATGTGTCGGTAAGTAATAGCGCGTGAGTTCATCATTTTTCTCTACTTTGTAGGCTGTGTGAGCTCCCAGTCAGCAACCACATAACCACGTAGTACATGCCAAATGCCTGCCAGATGCTGCTCAACTCAAGAGCCACAGTAGTTGGACACCTCAATCACAATTAGATAAAGCTTAGGGCACCAAATAAATTAGATGATATCGTGTTAGTTGTTGTGAAAGCAGCTTAACTAAATCAGTTCTAGCAAGAACCCATGAGCATATGGATCACGTACCCATCAATCTATTATTGATGCAACTTTGGCAACCTAATTGGGGCATACAAAGTGGCGACTCACGGTCCACTACTGTAGTGCTACAAACACTTGTCATGGCCAAGTTGCACTTTTCTGGCTGTTGGCCCAGGTCCCTTGTGTTAGAAATAATCCTTTAGGATTAACATAATAGGATCTTAAACTCGAGATTAGAACACCTCTTATGTAGAAACTTAGGGACTAACCTTGACTGTAGCCCATGGTTGCACCTTGGGGTCTCCGGCAGTTAAAATATGACCGAGGAAGAAGGGCAGCACGTAGATGGTGTGGGCGTGTAGCAGGAACGCCGCCGGCACAGCCTTGCAGCGGCAGGCAGTGGAAACGGCCTTCTGAGTCCTCCTAATGGCCTAAACTTGTCAGGGTATGTAGAATAGATATCCCCAGGATGATGCCTCGCATGTCATGTAGGATCGGAAAGTGGGATCCTCTGCAGGAGGCGAGATCCCCTGCAGGAGACGGGTGCTTGGGGAGAAAAAGTGTGGTTTTGGTGTCAAAAGTTGAGTAAAAAGTAAAGATGTATGTGTGCTAGAGTGTTTATTTTCTATTTCTTAATGAGTTTCACTAGTGGTGGCTTGCATTTGTTAGAGTTGTGTCGAATATTGTGTACAGGGTAGGTTACAGTTGAACTAGGAGTTGTATTATGTTTACATAGGATGTGGAGTCGTGTCCTAATAGGACACTTGTATCCTAGGCCTCTCATATATAGCGGGGGTAGACACATGATGTAACCTATGCCAACATAATAGCACAGGCGCGCAAGGGGGAGCCGGCGGCGTGTGCCGGCGCCCGGGTCGCCAGGGTGCGATATTGTGACGGTGTCACGGGAAGGAACGCCCATAGTCAAGCCCCGGGGATGTAGCCATATCGGTGAACCTCGTTAACAAATTTCGGTGTCGTGCTCATGTGATTGTTTGGTCCTTGGATGATTGACGGTATGTCTCGGATTTATTCTAACAAGTGGTATCATGAGCTAGGTTATTCGGAGACTGTGAATTATTAGAATTATTGATCGGGACGAAATATAAGTTTGAGATGCAGCCGGCAGCGGCGTGGTTCTCGACCAGATTTGAAGAAGCAATCGGAATAAGAGTCGACGGCGTTGAATCGAGCAAGCGGCACCCATATCGTAGTGCGGCGCCTGGAAGCGGCCTCGTTGGGCGCACGGTGGTGCGGCTGTAGCTGTCAGCCAAGCCGCTGGTGCGGCGCTGGTTCTAAGGCAGCAGGCTGCGTGGCCTGAGGCCGAGAGCGGAAACAGGGACCCGAGGTGAAGCCACGTCAGGGCCATGGTGATCTGGTAGTAGGCCGGGCTGGGAGTGCTCGTATGGGAGACTTGTTCCATACGGAATTGCCAAGGTGCTCGTATGTGCAGCGTATTAGAGATTTGTTTTGACAAAAAAGAAGAGGACCGAGTCCTCCCGTACGACTCGGAAAGAGAGGCAGCCAGGTCCAAATCGGAAAGAAAAAAATCCATTGATGATACGCATCCATTGGAAGGCAAGGACAAGGCAAAGCAAAGCTAGCATTGGAGTTTTGTGCAAGGGAGCCGAGCCACCACGTGAAGCAAAGACTAGTAGTACATGGATCAATCTGGTTATGTATGCGTACACCAGTACTTGGGCATCGCACGGGAAGCTTGGTTATTTTTTCGCAGGGTCAACCATACGAAGAACCATGGCGCCAACGGATATCAGGTTTGAGGTGGAGAAGTTCGACGGGACTGAAAACCTTGAGTTATGGCAGACAAAGGTGAAACATTTGTTGGCACAACAGAGATGCTTGAAGGCGTTGTGGGAAGTCATGTCAACTGAGATGGAATTATCATGTGATGGATGAAAATTCGCGGAAGACGATTTGGGAGCCTCGAGCGTGTCGTACAGTCGAACGAGTTCGGCTGGGTCGGACTAGGCAGTCTGACGGATCGACGCAAGTCGGTTGGTATAGAAGATGATGGTGGGATCGGCGACGACGACATAGGAGCGTGATGCTGATGGTGACCGACTTCTGGGCGTGGAAACACGTGGCACAGGCCTGAGTGCCTGTGTGACTTCGGCAAGACTATGGCGCGGGATTGATTCAAGACAATGTACACACGGAGCTTGAAGTCGACAGGGCGTGAGGGTGGATTGATCATCTACCATGGAGTCATGTTGAAGGTGGAGCTGGATTGAGGGGCTACGGTGTAAGGATCCAGAGAATCGAAGCCTATTTCAGCTTGCGAAAAAAGTGAGTGACACGTAGTTCGGACTAGAGCTCTTCCTTGATCGCCTCGAGCGATCCAACTTTTCCGAGCGTGCGGTTGGCCCTCGTGGTGGTTTGTTTGGGAACTGCCGGTGGCTTTCGTTCTGGCATGATTATATTCTTGGAATGGAAGTGATGGATTTCGTATTATTTTGTTTCTGAACAAGGGTTTCAGGTTTTTTTCTTCTGAACATCAGTATATAGACTTAAGCGCTCATACATACACGCATACATTCATTTCTATGAACGCACACACGCACAGCCTACCCCTATGAGCATCTCCGAGATACTGAGCCAGCATATCATCTTGAAATTTATGAAGTCATCATAGAGAGCGCATCGCCGGAAATCCTGAAATAAATCCAGAAAATAAATGCGAGCACCAGGACTTGAACCCTGGTGGGCTGAAAATATCACTGTCCCTCTAACCATCCAACCACAGATTGGTTCCCCATGGGCCTGGGGTTTTGCGTGTGTAACTTGTATGGCTAAACCTGTGTGGATGACCTGGTCATGAAGATCTAGACAAATTTAAGACAAGAATTTTGATGGGGATAATAATATATAGGGGTGCCTAGAACTCATCTAGCTGAGTTATGTTATGGTCGCATTCACCTGATGTAAGCTCATGTCATGTGTTAGTTGTTCCGGCCTGTTTATTGTTGTCCCTGCCCGTTTACTGTTTTAGGCCTTCTTTGGTTTAGAGGAATTTCATAGGAATTCTAGAGGATAGGATTCTTATAGGATTTTTTCCTTTAGAGCTCTTTGGTTCATAGGAATGGATTCCTATTTTTACATAGGATTGGTTCCTATCCTCCATATTTTATAGGAAAATAAAAAAAAGCCTAGACTCAATGAAAAAATTCCGTTGGTGTCAACCAAATGACATCTTGTTTCCTATTGCTACTCATAGGATTTGAGATACATGTCATCTCATTTCTTACAAGATTCATATTCCTATGATAATCCTATCATATGAACCAAAAGAGGCATTAGTGGGTGTGCATAGGGAAGAGCAACTAATTGAGGAGCACTCGTTTCGGAGCATCCCCAATGGTGGGCTGAGAGCACGCCACTCGGTCGTCGTCACGTGTCGCGCTTTGGGCGCTCCGTCTGTATTTTGTTTTTATTTTATTTTTTCGCACGCATTTTTGGCTTTTTAGATGGTTTTTCTGCGATTTTTTGGCTTTTCGATCTTTTATCGGTCTTTCTTAGCTTATCGAAAAAATGCATGAATAA